TAAAAAACATTTGTGGGAGTCAAACCTACAGGCTAACTAAAAACCAATATACCAAGCATTGTAAGAGACTAGCTGGAGTACAGTTCCAAGAAAATATTAAAATTTTACAAAGTAGTAAATAAGGAGTGAGGATAAGAAAACACAAATTTGAGCCTACACATGATCATTTTTATGCCTTACAACAAATGCTATATTTTTAAAGATTTTTGGAAATTCTGAATGTTATTTTAATCTTGAATGTTTCATAGAGAATACAGTATAATTAAGAATGTTTGCCATAATATGTTGTTATGTCTTCAGGCTATTTCAATCATCTGTCTCGGGGGAGGTGTAAAGTATCCAGTAAGCTACCATGCCACTTAATGCAGATACCTGAACTACTTGGAAAATAACCTAAAGGAAACTGGAGGCAGGGGCAGCCCATGCTTCTCAGCAAGCTTTTGATGGGGGCTCATTTGACTGTACCCAGCAGCTCTTCTTTACTTCATGGTGGAGTATGGTCTCCTATGTGCTTTCCTACTGACTATGGATGGCTAGGGTGGCCTCCCCAGCACATCTGATAACTGCAGTGCTGGGATTCACTTTGCACTCCAACCAATTCGATGGTAGCAATACATTATATAGGAATTCCTGGTCACCTCTCTGCCAGTGTATTCAGCTTTTGTAGTATCCTAGGGTTTCATCTTACTGGGGGTGACTAGCCGCCAATTATGTAGAGCCTGACAATTATTCTAAATTATTTTGTATGTCTTTGATTCCTCTGTTCAGCTGTATGATTTTGTTTTTCCAATATTAGTATTCCAAATTCTCCTTTTGTTTTTCTTAAGTACTAACTCTCTGAAGTAAGCCTTGCTTTGCAGTGGTTAGATTTGGAAGGGGATCTATCTGTGCAGGTTTGAAACAAATACCTCTATCATACCTCCTTTCCCACAATCATACAGTGAGATTTTCTAGGGATTATGACACAATATTGGAGCAGGCTGAATGCAAAATGTAAAATCCAGCTAATTTCCATAAAGTTTTGTTATTGATACTCATCCACCTTACCCACATGTGTACTCATGAGTGTTGGAGATCAAACCTAGGGCCTGTGAGTGACAGGAAAACTGAACCTCTCCTCGCTCCTCAATTCTTTCCTCTTTCTTCTCTCCTCTTTCCCCATTCTCTTTCTTCATGTACTGGGGCTTGAATTCAGGGCTTGAGCACTGTCCTTTAGTTTTTTTGCTCAAGACTGATGTTCTACTACTTGAGACATAGCTTCATTTCTGGCTTTTTGCTGGTTAATTAGAAATGAATCTGATGGACTTTCCTGCCCCGGCTGACTTTGAACCGTGATCCTAAGATCTCAGCCTCTTGAATAGCTAGGATTACAGGTGTGAGCCACTGGTGCCCAACAAGACCTTTTCTTTATATACTTGTAAGTATCAATTATGCTCAATACATTGTGTTAAGAGTATAGCTATCAAGCCAGGTGCTGGTGGCTCACGCCTGTAATCCTAGCTACTCAGGAGGCTGAGATCTGAGGATCGTGGTTCAAAGCCAGTCCAGGCAGGAAAGTCAGTGATACTCTTATCTCCAATAAACCACCAGAAAACCCAAAAGTGGAGCTGTGGCTCAAGTGGTAGAGTGCTAGCCTTGAGCTGAAGGGCTGGGGACAGCACCCAGGCCCAGAGTTCAAGCCCCATGACAAAAAAAAAGAATATCGCTATCAAAAATATAGACTAAAGGCAATGACTTATACTTGATTACTTTATTCTTTAAAAGTCTAAAAAACAAACTCCATGTTAAGGACCTTAACACTCTATTGGTTGATTAGTCAATGTTATTGCCAAAGAAAGCTTCACAATTTTGAGATGTCTAAATGTTTGTTGGGTTCATGTATTAACACATACATGAACAGGGAAATCCTTTTTTTCTGTCTCCATGGTGCAGTACAATTTCCTTCTAAGGTATAAGAAAAAGAAACCTATTTGTTAGCTTTATTTTTTAAATTATTATTTTGCTGTACAGAATATTCCTGTCAACCTGGCTTTTTTTCACCTTTCGCATCATCTAACCATTAATGTTCTCTTCCTGAATCTGAACTGGTTTCAATTGATTTATTTTTGATTCTCAAAGGATCCTAAGACTTTTCGACTTTTCTCACATCTTTTCACTATGGTCAGTTACTTGGCCCTCTCTCTCTCTCTCTCTCTCTCTCTCTCTCTCTCTCTCTCTCTCTCTCTCTTTCTCCCCCCTCTCTTTTTGTCGGTCGTGGGGCCTGAACTCTGGGCTTGGGTGCTGTCCCTCAGCTCTTCAGCTCAAAGCTAGCGTTCTACCACTTGAGCCAGAGCCACTTCTGGCTTTTTCTGCTAATGTGGTGCTGAGGAATCGAGCCCAGGGCCTCATGCATGCAAGGCGAGCGCTCTACCACTGAGCCACCTTCCCAGCCCCTTAGCCCTCTCTTTTGTTCAAGCTTTTACTTACCCTGATGGGAGCAAATATCCAGAGTGCCCACTGTGTACTAACTATGAAGCCCTCAGTGTGGCACCATCTCCAGAAGGGTATGTGAAGGGTGAATCTCCTGGTAACTTTTTACACAGTCCTTCTCTTCAGAAAGACCATTAGTAAAATTACTGGTCTACTACAGATTCTACTTCACTAACAGCCATAACATGATCTGGGAAATTATTTTCTCAAGCCTTTAAACAGTTCAAGACCCATTTTCTCCAGGCTTTATGTCTGTTACTGCAAACAGAGAAAATAGAGCGCCTCAGTGAAACAAAAGAAAATCTGAAGGCTGAAAGCATTGAGTGACACAACTGGCCCATTTCTTCTACAGATCACTTTCCATCAGAAGTCTATGACAGATTAAAAAAGACATTTGAACCAAGCACCATGGCTCACACCTCTGATTCTAGGCACTTGGAAAGCTAAGCTGGAGAAGCACAGTTCAAGGCTAAACTGAGCAGCAAAGTTCACAAGATTCTATCTCCAAAATAATTAGCAAAAAGGGCTAGAATCATGTCTCTAGTGTTTAGAGTGTCAGCCTCGCAAGAGTGAGACCCAGAGTTCAAACATTAGTACTGCCAAAGAAAAAGACACTTGCAGGACAAAACACTCAGGTCCAATGTGATGTTAGGGATCACATACTGGCCTAGGAAAAAAATATTTCATCAGGTACCAGTGGCTCATGTCTATAATCTTAGCTATAAAGGAAACTGAGATCTGAGGATCATAGTTCAAAGCCAGCCAGGCAGAAAAGTCTGTGAGACCCTCCAATTAACCAGCAAAAAACCCAAAGTAGAGCTGTGGCTCAAGTGGTAAAAGTGCTACCTTGGAGTGAAAAAACTAAGGGACAGAGCCCAGTATCTATGGTCAAGCCCCAGTTCCAGTACAAAAAAAAAAATACAACTATATATACATATGTTTAAAGTAGTATGGCTTAGTATTATACTAATTTGTATATAGAGGTGATTTTTTTTTTACCCAAATCAGAATATCCTATTAAAAGTCCTATGCAATGCCACAATTAATCTATAGGTCTATTTATCCTCTAATATAGTTTAGTTAATACACTAAGTTATATGAATACATATATAACTAAAGAGTTTTCAAATTACTTGGTAGTTACTGAAAACTGCACAGGTTCTATGAAAGACTACGTAATCACAGATATTTTTGTTGGTATCTAATGTGATTTGAGGGTATTCTACCAACATGTCAGAGCTATAGGAAATGAGCTAGGAACAGTGGCTCATGCCCATAAGCCTACCTACTTAGGTGGCTGAAATTGTGATCATGGTTCAAGGCTAGGCCCAAGCCAAAAAAAAAAGTGGTCAAGATCCTATCACAAAAGAAAAACTTGGCTGTGCTAGCATAATTAAGAGAATTGGTCCCGGTCAGCTTGGGCAAAAAGCAAGATCCTATCTCAAAAACAGCTAAAGCAAAATAGAGCTGAAGGCCTGGCTTAAGCAGCAGATCACCTGCCTAGCAAACACAAAGTCCTAAGTTCATACTCCAATACCATTAAAAAATTATGTGAAATAAAAAACTGTAGATATCCTATCTCACTTCTTGGGAAGATCAGTAAATAGGAAATACATAGATGTATTGAAAAAGGTTTCATCATGGACTTGAAGCTCAACATAGGTTGATTGACAGCTCTATCTAGGCAAGAATTAAGCTTCCTAAAAAGGTACTACAATGAAACAGTATCAGAGTTGAGGCTCAGTGTCTGGAGTGGAAAGCTGGGAATTAATTATACTAAGGAACAAGAAACACTTCACCTTTCATAAAAGGGATAGTCAATAGAAATTCATTCACTGAATTATGAGCAGAGAATAAAAAAATCCCAATTTTCTTCTACTTTGTCTTTTTTGCATTAGGAGAATGTTTTCTTAAGGTGATTTTTAAGTTCTCTCCAAAAAAATTGTCTCCCTAATTATTTGAGTTGGCTGTAACACTGTCTTCTTTTAGACTGATATATCAAGTTCAAAACAGTCCTCTAACATTGGGCTCACACATTCTGTTTAAGTAAAAACTTGAGTTATTTTACACAGATGGGGTCAGTTGCCAAGAATGTTTTTACTAAAAGATGGGCTGTTACTAAATAACTTTTTGAAATTAAATCACTTCAATTTGTTATAGTCTGATATATTCTGATATTCCAACCATGTTTTGAATTCATAAAATACCTCTTTACCCTAGGATTTAAAGGGTTCGCTCAACATAAATCTATTAATCTCACACACTGCCTTATGAAGCCAAGAGCATACTCCAACTCTACATACAAAACACTTCCAGAATGAGCATATAAATCAGTCATGTTTTCAGACATATGAACAGAGGACTACATTCAATATCTTCTCAACAAGGAAACAAGCAAATTCCACATAGAGGTTGCTTGAAAATAATCTCATGCAAATATTGCAAGACTGAAAGCATTGTTTTTTAAAACTATTTTGTTAAAAACAAATGCTTAAAAATAGAGAATTGCTGTATTTCTGAAAATGGCTTACCTATTAATGTAACTGAGGGCAACATAGGTTGGCTGCTGTAATTCTTGCTTTTCTAAAACACGTGGATCTGTATCTGTAATAAAAAAAATTATAAATTTTCAGGCTTTGCATCAGAACATACGAGGTTACCTAACATGGTACCAGAGGCCAAATGGAGAAAGAGATTCATTTAGAATAGATCTTCTTAAATAAAACTCAGTCAGCAATGCAAATCATTTGTTCATTCATTCATAAATAACAAGATATTGCATTACTTTTCAAGGGAATTCCAAACATCAACAGTGATAAAATGCCCATCTGTCACACAAACTCTTGCACAATCCCCCTCATAAATATTGGTTTTCACTGCTTACAGTTACAATGTTGGCATGGTTTTCAGTATTTAATCGGCCTAAGAAAGAAAGTCTCTGTTAATTATGCTCACTTCAATGCTGGAACAAATTAGTTTCTATTAGAAAGCTCCATCAATTTGAAAATCTACTGAGTATTGTTCTTGTTCACTGAACACATTTCTGCATTTGGATTCATATTCTGGAGGGGAACTCTTCTTCTTTTTAAATGTGTAATGAGTTTATTACAACTTTCTAGACTTTCAATCAGAAATTGGCCTACTGGTTCAGTTAACAAACAGCACATTCAAAGAGGGCCTTTCCTCTTAAAGAGGCAGAATTCAACACCATAGCAACACTCCATAATGGCGCTTCTCCAGCACATTAAAAAAAGCATGCTTCTCACAACCAGTAACATTCTGAAGCTTCTCATATGGAGATACTATTGCATGAATACATGCAAAATGTTTATTATAATAACATAAAGGGAGGAAAGTGACTCCATGCTGTTTTCTTGGGAAAAGGTTCAGATATTTCACAGATTTCTTTTCCTTCTAACCTCGTCTAAACGATTGCATTATTAGAAGCCTTCCAGCTGCACTTGGCGGTAACACCTCCTTTGATGTCATGACAGATGTTGTTTCAAGCACCTTTGCACAGGAAGTGTTTACTGCACATGGTAGATGTGAGATACACACACTAAACTCCAATGTGCATTAACAGGTGACAGGAGCAGGAAGTAGACACAGTGGCAGAGACCATGAATGGCAAAAATGATAGCATAAAAATGCATTCACAATGCTTTTGACTTCCAGACTAAGACTGGACAGCAGAGCCAGTTTATTCTTAATGTTAAAATCAAGACTCTCATGTTCACTTTGTCATTTTCCTATGCCAAGAATTCCAGGGACATACTATTCAGAAATTCTACTTCCTTGGGTCTTTGCCATTATAAGTCTGTGAAAGCTGAATTCTGAAAAGAAAAAGATTCGTTGAAAGGTACCATGGTGCTGGGTCACAAGGTTTTGGCAGTACAGATAAGAACAGATCAGTAACTTAGCATTTCCTCTCTTTCCAACCATGATTCCTTATGCAATAAGGCTACTCTTGGAATGCTTGTCTAGAGATAAAGTGAATAGTTCTCTAAACACAAAGAAACTATTCTTCGAAGGGGAACTTAGTTCTCAAACAACTCTTAACACTCATCTAAATTTGGTGTAATCCCAATATAAATCTTCTTTTTGAGGCACGTGCTCACTGGACGTGCATCCTCCCAACCATGTTTAACAGGACAAAGTGTGAGTTCAGAAACAGCGCATTGGCATGCTGGGCTGGACACAGGTGCAAATACTGACTGACATGCCAATCCTGTAGGACCTTTCAAAGTGCTTAATGAGGTAAGAAACAAGAGACTTGAGATGAAAGGCAAGAAAATGAGAATTAAGGAGAAAGATAGGAAAGAATAAGGCAATGATTGCAAATGTTGTTGTAGAAAATGTCTTAAATGCTCACAAAACAATTCCAGTTCAAGTTTAGGTATTGATAGGAGCTTAGATTTTGAGCTAGGGGCCTGAGTTTGATTCATTAAAAGCCATTCATTGAAAGGGACATGGTTACCTAAGGGTGAATGATTGAAAAGGTTGCATGATTACTCAGATAATTTTGAAGAAAACACCATTCTGAGTCTAAAATTTGTGTATTAAGGGGTAAGAAGTGCATAAGCTTGTAAGAGCTACGAAGCCAGAAAACATTTTTACAGTATCTTTCATTTTTGTCTTTGTTCTTATAACTAGTTTCCAACCTAAAATTTTCCCAAACTACCTTGGTAAGGCTTTCTCTTCTTCCCAAATTATAAAATTCTAAAATATTTTAAATTATCTTCCAGGCTATCCTTTTTTCTTTTTATTAGTGTGTCTGTGTGTGTACAAGCATATATACCATATTCTTTTCTACTTCAAGCTTATTATGGTTTGGATCTCAAATGTCCTCCAAAGGCCTTCGTGTTGAAGACTTAATCCTCAGTCTGGTACTACTGGACGATGGAAAAACCTTTAGGAGGCGGTGCCTAGTGGAGGTTAGGTAATTGGAGATGTCCTTAAAGAGATGCTGGGATCTGGCCTTTTCCTCTCCTCTTTGCTTCCTGGGTACCAGGTGTTTTCACCACCTGCTCCCAGCCATGATACTCTGCCTTCCCACAGGCCTGGAAGCAATGGAACTTACCAGTCATGGATTTAAGCCTCTGAAAATGTGAGCCAAAACAAACCTTTGTTCGTTATAAGTTAATCTCAACTATTTTCTTACAGTAGTGGAAAGCTGCTTCTTGCTGAAAAAGCTCTAGTATCTCTTTGGAGAAGGGGAAGGCTATATCTTATATAAAATTCTATACTTAAATGCTCAGTGTTTTCCTGACATTCACACAAACTACATCATAATTTTGATTTGCAAAAAAATCAAACGTTTAGCATTCTATCTGCAAAGCAAGATTTTGAAAATGTTCTTTGTCACATTTCATAACCTGTGCTCATATACTCAAATATCCTGAAAGTATAAGGGGAAAGCAGACTTCGAAAAGCTTTCAAATACCATCTGCTCCATGACTAAAAAGATCATCTGGGAGTGCCTTAGGCAAGATTCTCTTTTACTACAAGACAGACCCTGATTGCCAAACTTCTGGATAGACATCTCCCAGGCATAAGCCCTCTTTTCAGATTAAACATTTCCTTCGACAACCTTCAGAACACCCATCAAAGCTTTGAGTTCTTAAAATGAGGCACTTGGTGGCCACAAATCAGGAGCAGCCTCCACAAGTGCTATGGAGGAACTGCACCAACTGGTCCCAAGTAAACATTGGTTCCATCCTTTGCTTCTTGGCTGGCTGCTGTGTGGTGATCATGACTCACCATTTTATGGATTTAATTATGCTGCCAAGCACTTCACATTGAGTAAAAGTATAATAGCTGTCTTTATTATTTCTCCCTCTCCGACAGAACCATGACTGTCCCATGATATGGGAAAATACTTTAGAGACGAGAGACTGGATTTTTCCCAGCAGGATGGTTTCCTTAGGTACTTCATAGTGATACTCTCCTCAAGGATTATAAAGACAGAAGGAACATGATCACTTTGAACTGGTGGAGTCTCATTGTCCATAAGATATGGCTGAATTCAAGGAAAACCTTATTCTATGTGCCACATTATTCAGACATATTTGTGTATAGAAGTTCCTACACTAATGAATGTAATAAGAAATGAAATGGCTATAGCATACCATCTCCTAGATATTTCTCTGGGTTGTTTATAGTGTCAATAAAATATGAAACTGGAACATTGGCTATAAAATTGCCCAGAGATATAATCTGCTTCAGTAATGGTCTGTGGGTAGAAACACTTGAATTTTTCATAGCCTCATGATACTACTTAAAGCTGGAAATTTGGCAGTTTCTATAATGTGACCATCAACAGCCACACACAACAGCACTCTGAAACTTTTATATCACTCAGAATTGACAGGAAAATAAACCCAACTTTTCTAGAAGGGCAAAGCAGAACCAAACACTGTACTGATAAAGATTATGATACCATTTCTGCCTCCTCTCTGCATGTACTCTCCTTTGCACATACAGAATTCAAATCAAATATTAAAATATTTTTAAAGTACTCAAGCAATAAAAACCTATCAGAATACTTCAAGGTTTCTAAAAGCATTCTCAGAAGTGCCTGGCAATGTGTATCTTCTGTCATTATCTTGGGGCAATATTTTGTGCAGACTGCTCTATAACAAAGTATTTAACATCAGATCCAGCTACAACATGGAGCTTTCCATAGTCATGTGATCTTAGCAATTCATAGTTCTAGTGAAGCAACTGAATTGCAAAGGGCTCATTGCCATAGCACTAGCTCCCATTGCTTCTCAAGTAGTAGAAACAAACAGCAAAACTGTAAGGAACTAGGAGAGGAAACTTCAGACCCTTTTCAGTAGAGATTGGAAGTACAGTGGAACTGAGGTTGGGCCTACATCAAGTCCATCTTGTTCAATCAGTAAGGCCTATGTTTATCTGCTTTGCTGTCTCCGGTACTGGAAACCAAAGTCTGGATTTATGACATTTCTGACAAATCTTCCTCTGTACTGCTGTCTTTAAGCCTACTTGAGAATTCTATCCATTGTTTGCTGGGCCAACCACCACTAATTAATGAGCTAATTAATGGGCTTTGGCTATGCTCTAGTCTGTCTTGGTGGGATTTTATATGTTTGGAACTACCTATTTAAGAAGGTCAAAAAAACCATCTGTGTAAAACTAACAAGATCCTGGTATCTGCAGGCTGGGAGGTAGCAGTGTGAGGAAGATGTGCGGCCATCTCCCTTGAGTAGCCTTCTTCAATTTCTGGATCTTGTCTACGTATGTATGGCAACTGTGGGTGGCCTGAGAGGATATAGGAGGGAAGGCATCGGGAATTGCAGGGCCTCTGGAAGAACCTGGAAAGGCAAACACCCACTCAGCCAGAGTGATTTTGACCAGGAGGGCTAGCTTCAACACTTTATTTTGGGATTACTCAGTGATTCCAGTACTAATTAATGGGTGCAGTCTTTTCTCAGCTTTCCTCCAGCTGTTGAACTTGTAAAACTTCAGAAGGGCCTCCCACTGCATCCTGGGCAGGGTCTGTCACACCCTCCTCTTGCTCACTCCACTTCCTTCCTTGTACCACCACTGATGGAAGGGATATTGCCTGAAAATGTGCTTTTTCT